ACAAACAATCGCCTTTTCTTTTATTTTCAAATCTTAACTGAAGAAGCTGACTGGTTGCCATGGGCAACTGCTCCAAACTTTATCTGCTGCAGTTTCCCCCCCAATGTATGTATTACTCTGTTGTCTAAAGTAATGACCACGTAATCGCCAAATAAACAGGCCCATAGTGGATATTTAAAAATTGGGTATAGCGATATGAGAGCTGACTTGGGGGGAAATGTGAACTGAACATTTTGATGGAAAAATTATTAGATATATTATTTGTAGTTACAATAACGCTTTATCAATTGACTCTTATACATGTTAATGTATGATATCATGCAGTTTTTTAACATGGTAAAGGGAGACGTTTTTTGTTTTTCCTGATCCTATAGCAGCCTTTTATAAAAACCCAAAGTGAATTATGTATACAAATAGTCAAGGTAACAGGTTTTCTTGATAGCGGGCACCACAAAGGGTTTATACCTACTAATCCCACCGCACACCCTAACCCACTCTGCTGCTTTGCTACCCTTATTTTTCCTCCAGAGCTTGTTATTGACTCCAGCTATAGGAGAATACTTAACACTCCTTTTTGCAGTGCTCAGTGTGTAAAGGCAAGCCGCCAAGACAGATTGTACATAGCCGTCAGAACGTTTCAAATTTGTAAGAGTCAAAACTTGTATAGAATATTTCTGGGTCTGCAGCAGCAGATCAGAGTGGTGGGAAAAGTCTGTTTAAACTTCTTGTGGAGACTGCTGTCAAGTCCAGGCTAAGCACAGTTTCCCTTTTAAAGCATGTTAGAAAAAAAAAAAAAAAACTTAATCTAGGAAGTCAGTAATTGGTTCCTCCCCCTTTTGCACCTTTCTCTTGGTCAGTGAGATCACCCTTGATGTGTCCAAGTTGAAGTGGGGAAGAGGGCTGGTGAAAGCACCAAATTTGTAGATAAAGTTAGAATTTTCATAACTGAGATCCTGGCGACTATATAACTAAACATACAGTGGTGAATTTATCAAAACTGGAGCAGCCGGAATCTGGAGCAGTTGCCCTTAGCAGCCAATCAGCTTTTTTCTTCAGATTGTTCAGTTAAGATTTGAAAAAGAAAGATGGATGCTGATTGGGTGCCATATACAGCTGCTTCAGATTTGGTCTGCTCCAGTTTTGATAGATTCCCCTCACACTATGTGCAGTAACCTCTGGGTGCCTGCATTTACATCTTGGTCCCACTTTACTGTATTACAGATGTACTTTAAGGACAACACAGTGTAGAAAATATTAAAGCAGCTTAAACAGCAAAAAATAAGTAGTTTAGTAAGTAGTTAAGCTGCTTTGTGTTCTTCCTCTGCAGTTGAGTAAAGGGAAATAGTAAATGCTGTATGGGTCAATAACATAATAAAATAATGTTATATTGTTATTTCGAATACTTTTTATTGCCTCCAGAGTAGGTAGAAAACAAGTCCTTCATATACAATTTTTCCACCCAGTGCAAAAAGAACTAAACTGAAGTTTCATGACAAGAAAGCGAACTTAACAAATATCATATAAAATGGTTACACTGTAACTTAGTTTGCTTATAAAACTAGTAGTAATTTAGAAATAAATAAAATAAAACTGAACAAGTCAGTCAGATACTTTGGTCACATGATAGGTAGCTGCTGCCTGTAGCAAGGCTATAATATGCTCAGACCTTCTGTTCTTCCCCTTCCGTAAACAGACATGGTGCTGCTAGAATCTAAGGTTACGAAGTATGTACAATATTTATATGCTAGGCTTTTAAGAAAAGGAATATTCCAGTTTTTGCTTCAAATGATAATTGGTTAGAAGGATGTACCAGTCAATCAGACACCGAGTTCTACATGGCCAGGCTATTGTACTGATTGCATTTGACCATTGTCCCTACAAATTGCATGTTACTGCCTTCTGCAATGATATGACAGTTACCCAAGGCAATCACAATTCTTTACAGTATGTTGGTTTTTAGAGAGAAAGGATGTATTTTCTTTTTTCTAACAGTCTCATTTTCTGTAGGTTGTACAAGGCTGGACAAGTGGGTATCATCAGTATAAGAGAGCATCATTAAGGGATATAACGGCCTAAGTCTTTAACACTGGAGAAGTCTGCACGTGGGCTGGAGCAAACTTCAACACCCTCTCTTTAATGCTTTATTTACAGCTGGTTTAATAGTTTATTGATTATGTATAAAAATATACACTGTATATGTACATATATATTACAAAGACTTGAGTATGTTTGCATGTGAATATATAAATTGGAGTATATTTGGCTGTATACACAATTTTTATGTTCTATGTTCTACATACCTTTTAAGAATCAACTCCAACCAAAAATGATTTTAGTTTGGATGGTGATCAAAAACCCTTATGTCCAAGATCTATGTATAACTCTAATGTCCCACAGTTATGGTTGCCAGAAAGTCTCTTTTACTTTCTACTCTTGTTGTCTCTGCCTGTCAAAAATGAGAAGTTAGTTCTATTGAATGGGAAAACCTTTGACACTACGCTACCAGACATACCATGCAAAGTGAGAAGAGGAACTGTTGGGGACTTTCACAGTGGTAAATCTTGTACCAAACAAGCATGAAGGATGCCATTGATGGCTTGCCCTTATAAAAACATGGATTCCCCTGGCTGCCATGCTGATCTAAGGGTTTCAGTACTTTCAAAGTCATTGACTTGGAACAAGTATTTTAATCAGCAGGTATGAGATCAGTCTGCTTTTCCAGATCCTCAGGTTTTTTCTGGGTCTGTAACCCAGAATATATTGAGATGCCGAGGCAACTAGCGAAGGTGGTAAGCAATGGCAGCCTTCTCACTTCTCTTCATACAAGTTTCCTTTAGCATCTTGGTTCATGTATCAGAATTGTCTGTGATGTGATGTATGTTTTGAGACAGATGTGTACCTTTATGCAAAATCATTTGCAGTTTGAGACAACGTGTGTCATATCACTTAGAATCTATGCCTATACCTTTCTACAAGGGAATAAACTCATAGGCAATGTCTAAGGTTACTTTAAAAGTTGGACATCTATTGCTGCTGCTTCTTCTGCTAAGTTTGTATTACTTATTTGCTGCTGTAGCAAATAAGCAAGGAGGTTCTCTAGTCCTTTATCCATATCATTACATCTAGGTGAACTTTTAACACTTCATGTGCCTCCAAATAGTTCATTCTCTAAAGCCAAATTGTCATGAAAAAGTAGATGTACGTAAAAAGCACTTCAAAGGAAAAAGATAAATATACAGTACGAAGGAGTCCTAAATGTTTCCACAGCGCTGCATAATGTTGTGCCATCTTGCTTTAACAATAGCTGTATGAAAGGCATTTTACCCTGTCTTACATTTGCTTGTCATATACTGCTTCCATGTTGCCATATTTAACTGCAGACATGGCGAGGATGGTTCAAATTGGCTGTAAATGTATATGTAGTAGAGCAGGGAAAACCAATTTTAGCCTTTTTGTTTAACCTATAATGCAGAACTTTTTTTATTTAATTTAAATTCTGGACATTATTATTTATTAAAGATACACTCCAGTCAAACTGGAAAGTTGATTTCTTTGTATAACTCTAGGTCTAAAGGCAAATAGGCTGTTCAGGTTGCAGTTTATGAGGTAAAGCTCTGCTGATTTCCATCATCTAGTCATGAGCAAGCAAAAATACTGTTTTCTTTATACTGTATTTTCCTTACACATGATTGGGTATTCCTTGCAAAGTGAATTTCCCCCGCATTCACTAAGCTAAGAGAAAATTCCCTTGCAAAGTTTTTTTGCCTTTTAGTAAATCGATTCCATATTCATAGACCCTAGAGCAGTGTATTAGCAGGCAGCAGCAGCAGGGTTAGCTGCAAGGGGAGGAGATTGCTGAAACAGAAATAGGAACTCCAGGCAAATGGCTAAATACCTTATAAAGTAAATCTGCTTTGGGGTTAGCACCCTTAGATCAACAAGACTTGGGTTATTGGAACAATGGAGGCAGTTTAGGGGATTCCCAAACTTATAATGCATGGGTGAAACTTACTTTTATTGCAATAAAATGACACCACTACTTCAATGAACTGTTTCTAATAAATAATGACTATATCAAAGACTCCCTAAAAATAATCTCTATAGGGGAGCAAGTCCACTTAGTGGTACCCACAACTTCTAATCCAATATATGCCTTGCAGCCTGTGTTCAGATAGGAGCGTCCAGACGCTAAACAGATGCAGTTAATCTGCCTAGTGTAAGGATTAATTTATTATTGAAGTACAAAAAGTATTATTGCACTTATTTAAAGAAAAACCTTTTTACGGTAAGTTCTCCTGACATGTGGGAGTCCTCTATTGTGAGATAAGAGAGACAGCTCTCTGGCGTCCTTACCGTTTACTCCTTGGGCTCAGGACAGATCACCTATTGGTGGCCATGTGTAGCAATCCTACCTCGAGGACTCCAACATGTTAGATGAGCTGGCTGTTCAGGCCCAGTTCACAGCAGAAACTGCATCACAACTGCAGGCGTCCGTGCAGTTGCACTGCGATCCGTTTTTTTTTCTGCACTAGAAAATGCTTATTAGACAATTAGGTAACTTCCTCTTCCTGTCAGAACATTTCCTACATTTGTTTTGGAGATCAGACACGCTTTCTTTGTTGGCTGGCATGGTGCTAGTGTTGACTATAGCCATTCTCTGACAACGCCTTAGCAGGCGACGTCGATATTGGGTTCATCCGGATGTTTGCTGTTGTACAGCAAGGGACAGTCCCGACAATATTGGATGAAATCATCTGCATCCACAAATTCCATCTCTTCACTTTCCACACTACAAAGAGGAAGTCCCTGGGTGATGACATAATCAATTCTGAGTCTTTTTTTTTTATGCTTTCCGTTGCGTTTGCACTGTGTTTTGATGCAGGTAAAATAGGACAAGCAGTACTTTTTCTGACTGCATCTGAATGGACTGCAATGGTGTGAATTAAGCACAAGAAAGCCCATAGGAAAGCATTGTGATGTATTTTGACTGCAGCAGTCAAAATAAACGGACTACATCACAACTGCATATGTTGTGAACAGGCCCTCAGGCTTTTCAAATATGAGTGCAATATTACTTTGTGTCCTTTCAGTAATAAATGAATCCATACTCTAAGTTGCTGCTCTGTGTTTTTTCTCTATGTATATAAATGGTTAAATACAGTTATAGTACATATCTATGAACTGTTTAACCTTCCAAAAGATAGAATTCTGTTCTGCCCATTTTGTGACCTACACACTCATGGTGCATGAACAAGACCAGATGAACAGAATAATTCACGTATTTGTATTCCAACTGTGTACCTACTTTAAAGACTGTAAAACTTTACAGCAAGTCTGCCACTGTAGCCATAACTTCAGATATGGGCTGTTCACCTTACTCACCACCCACCTTATTTCTATTAGAGAGAGCACTGTATTAAAACAGATTACATTACCCCCCCTTTTTTTTTTTACTTCAGTATAAAAATAATTGTAAGAGGTACATATGTTAAAGAACTGAGAATCCATTCTATTCCCCAGTCACGTGTCAGATGTCCATACTATATGCATATTATTATGGTATAATGTTGTGTTGTTTTCCCTGCCACATGTTGCTGCACGAGATTAATATTTTGTAATTAAGAATACATTTAAGTTATTTTATAAACTGTGTGAATGATGCTGAAGGTTTGCCTTTGTGGTATGGATGTTCAAAAAAGACAAAACCCCTATTGTTAACATACAAACCTTGAAGTAAAGGTTACTGTTTAAACCTTTTTTTTTTTTTTCTCTTTTTGATTATTACTAACACCAATTTACACTATTGTTTAAGCTGTCCATACACATATAGATTATCTGCAGATTTTCTATGGTCAGAGGGGAAAAAGTGGATGGAGGAATCTCCCACTGGGCCAAGCTTCGGTATCTTGCTGGTCGGCTCCGCTGGCTCTCAAAACACCTGAACAATTCCTGCATCTAATCAGGTTGTTCATGTATTTTGACAGCCAGCAGAGCCGACTAGCAAGACATTGAAGCTTGGCTCAGTGGCAGATTCCTCCATCCACACAGTTTAGTGTACATGGAGGCATCTTTTGCACTTTTTCCACCTGACCATAGAAAATCTATAGATACATGGCCAGCTTTAGACAGGATAGAGGATATAGAAGATATTACTTGTCAAATCTGTGTATATGCAGAGAATTCTTTAGCTAAAAAGTGTTGCTTTGCGAGACAGCAATTTAAAAAGGGAACTTCACCCTTGTCCTCAAAAATGACAACATTTTGTAGCTCTAAGCGATTTGGTCTTCCCTACAATGCTGGACAACCTAAATGGAGTGTTATATGATCAGAATTCAGTCAGACAATGGCAGTAGCGTACATCAATCTTTAAGGGGGAATTAAAAGCATTGCTGTGCAAACTAGGTAGCACAGAGTCTAGCCTGGGCAGGGATTCAGGTTCCAGACAACCCAATTGTCTCTATATACTGAATTCTGTGTCCCTCTTAAATAAAGAGAAAATTGCATTATTGTACTTGTCATAAAATCTGTTTCTTGAGGTTCATAAAGGGACACAGGTCCCATCCTTCTATATTTTGTCATTTACTCCTAATACTGCTTTGCTACAAACTTAACATGTGGGCGTAGTTATACCTGGCAGGCAACAGCTTTTTTTGTTTGCCAGTGTCAACCTCCCTCTAGGCAGCAGTACAACCCAATTGTCTCTAACTGTTGAATCCTGTGTCCCTTAATATTCTCCAAGATTTTACAATAAGTACAAAAAAAAAAATCTGTATTGTATTAATCTTTTACATTTTTCTTATGCACCAAGAAGTAAACTTTGCCACACTCTGTCCCAGAAAATGTAATTTTAGTGACATTCTTAGAGGACCAGTTACAGAATAAAATCTGTACTTTATACCTAGGAACACATTCAATAGTGATACATCCTGTCTGCGGTGCTCTCTGCCTATAGCGGGCAATAAATAGCCCGCTCTATGCTGAGGTTTGGTGTCACGGGAGCCTAAAGAGAACTATAGGGGAAAAACTAGTTACCCCATAATTCAACATTTGCCTGAAGTTTTATACCTAAAAAAAATGGAACGATAAAAACAATCCTTGGTTTCATATAGCTGTACACTGGCCTGTGGGTGGAGCCAGCACATCACTGTCATAACATCCAGTGATTGACATTTATGTCTCATTTTTATTGATATCTAAGGAATAAGAAATTAAAATTAACTACAAAGACTTCTAGCACTAAGTTTCACATCACAGTAGTAAAATTGTACATTATGTATAAGACAGTAGGGAGCC